GGAAGACTAAAGTGGTTTAAGAAATTAAATTCAAAATGCTCTATTTCTTGCCTTTATCTGTAGTATCATCAAAAGAATAATTGTAATTTTGTTTCTAGCAATATTTTAAGGCAATCTTTATTATGCCCTGAAAAATGTGAGGGGAGAGGTTCCTAAAAACCTAGTTCAGTTCCTGAGTCCATTTCCTAAAGACATATCTTAGTTCTTGGAAGATAAGATCTCATTAAAAACAGCAACAACAAAAATAGGTGCAGCAGTAGCAGCACCAGCACCAGCTGCACCAGCTCTCAAACCATATTACAATGTGGTAGTCACCAAAAAAATATGATGCTGGCTAAGAAATAGAGTGGTGGATCAGTGGAATAGCAAATGTATACAAGACACAATAGTGAATGACTATGGTAACCTAGTGTTTGATAAACCGAAAGATCCAAACTTTTGAGACAAGAAATCACGTTTTTGACAAAAATTGCTGGAAAACAGGCAGAAACTAGATATAGACCAGCATCTCACATTGTATACTAAGATAAGGTCAAAATGGGCACGTGATTTAGAAATATAGGGTGCTATCATAACTAAATTAGGGGAGCATGGAATAGTTTACCTGTCAGATCTATGTATGAGGGAAGAATTTATAATCAAATAAAAAATAGAGAGCATTATGGGATATAAAATGGATAATTTTGATTATGTTAAATTAAAAGTTTTTGTATAAAGAAATCCAATGCAGCCAAGAGTTGAAGGAAAGCAGGAAACTGGGAAAAACATTTATGGCAAGTTTCTCTGCAAAAGGCTTCATTTCTCAAAGATAAAGAGAACTGAGTCAATTTTACTAAAATACAAGCCATTCCCCAATCGATAAATGGTCAAAGGATATGAACATGCAGTTTTCAGACAAAGAAATCAAAGCTTTCTATAGTCATATGAAAAAAATGTTCTAAACTGAATTTGAGAAGTATAAATTTAAACAACTCTGAGCTACCACCTCGTACTTTATCTTACTGACTATTGTAACAGAAAAGGAAAATGGCAAATGTTGGAGGCATGTGGAAAAGTTGGGACACTAATGCACTGTTGGTGAAGTTGTGAACTGATCCAACCATTTTGGAAAGCAATTTGGAACTATTACCAAAGGATTATAAAATTGTGCATACCCTTTGACCTAGCAATGCTGCTTCTACATCTGTATCCCAAAGATATCAACAGAAAAAGGGCTTATGTGTACAAAATTATTTATATCAGCTCTGTTTGTGGTGGCAAAGAATTGGAAACTAGGTGATGCCTATCAACTGGAGAATGGCCGAACCAGTTGTGATATATGCTCGTGATGGAATACTACTCTGCTATAAGAAATGATGAGCAGGATGATTTCAGAAAAACCTGGGAAGACATATATGAATTGATGCAAAGTGAAGTGAGCAGAGCCAGGAGATGGTTGTGCACAGTGACGGTAATATTGTACGATGATCAACTGTGAATGACTTAGATATTCTCAGCAACACAATTTTACAAGACAGTTCCAAAGGACTTGTGATGAAAAATGCTGTCCACCTCCTGAGAAGGAACTGATGGAGTCTGAATGTAGATAGAAGAATACAGACATCATAGCTCAGAAATATGGAGGGTTCCATTCCAGACCACTGCAATGAAGTGAATGCTAGAATTAAACACGTCACACAATTTTTTTGGTTTCCCAGTACATATAACAGTTGTTTGTACCATACTGTAGTCTGTTAAGTGTGCTAATGCCCCCCCAAAACCCTATGTAAATACCTCAATTAAAAATACCATTGCTAACTACCATCTGAGCCTTCAGTGTTTCATAATCTTTTTTGCTGGTGGAGGGTCTTACCTTGATGTTCATGGCCACTGACAGATAAGAGGAGTGGTTGCTGATGGTTGGGGTGGGTATGGCAGTTTCTTAAAATAAAACAACAATGAAGTTTGCCACATCAGTTGACTCTTCCTTTCACTTGAACACTTCAAGGCTGTTGTAGGGTTATTAATTGGCATAATTTCAATATTGTTGTGTCTCTGAGAATAGGGAAGCTGGAGGTGGGAAGGGCTGGTTGGTGGAGCACACAGAACATTTATTAAGTTCAGCCCTTAATATGGGTACAGGTGTTGGCACCCCAGAGCAATTGCAATGGTAGCATCAAAGATCCCTGATCACAGAACATGTAACAGATATAACAATAATGAAATCGTTTGAAGTATTGAGAGAATTACCAAAGGGTGACACAGAGACGTGATGTGAATATGTGCTGTTGAAAAATGGCATTGATAGGCTTGCTTGATGTAGGGTTGCCACAAACCTTCAATTTGTAAACAACACAGTATCTGGGGCAGCTAGGTGGTGCAGTGGATAGAGCTCTGGCCTTGAAGTCAGGAGGACATGAGTTCAAATCCAGTCTCAGACACATGACACTTACCAGCTGGGTGACCCTGGGCAAGTCGCTTAACCCTGTTTGCCTCACCAAAAAGCAAAAAAAAAAAAATACAGTATCTGTGAAGCACCATAAAGGGAAGTGTAATAAAACAAGGTATGCTGGTATTTTTTTTAACTTTATTTTTCTTGTTGTTGATCTGTGTTCTCTTTTGCAACATAGATAATACAGAAATGTATTTAGCATGACTACACATGTATAATTATATCAATGTGCTTGCCTTGTCAAGGAAAGGGGAAGGGTGGGAGCAAGGCAAGGGATCTGGAATTCAAAGATTATAAAAAATGAGAGGCAGCTAGATGGTGCAGTGGATAGAGCACCAGCCCTGGAGTCAGGAGGACCTTGAATTCAAATCCAGCCTCAGACACATGACACTTACTAGCTGCGTGACTCTGGGCAAGTCACTTAACCCCAATTGCTTCACCAAAAAAAATTTCAAAAAAATGAAGGTTAAATTGTGCTTTTATGTGCAAATTAAAAAAATAAAATAAAAGTGTTCAGAAGATAACAACAGTAGTTGTGAATCAGCAACCTGTTCACAGAATTCCAGAACTGACTTAGAACACATGTACATAGCTGCAACTCTAGATGATCAAGAACGTGGCTTTTAAAATGAACTGCCATGATCTGTACAACGCTGTATTGTTTGTATACCAAACAGATTGATTTGTGCTTTCCTTGGACTACTTAACAATGAATAATTGCTTTTGAAAACAAAGTGAAAGAGACACAGATTCAAGCATTAGCTAAATTCTGTTGTGTATGAGTTTCTTTTCTTCTTTGGACATGCATTGTAAAAAGTCATATTCTCCAGTGTAATGTTTGTTAGAAATGTAAGAAAACGGTTCCAAAACAGAAGAAAAAAATAGCAAATAGTATGCTTCGATCTGCATTCAAACTCCATAGTTCTTTCTTTGGATGTGGATAGGATTTTCCATCATGAGACCTTTGGAGATGTCTTAGGTCCTTGTACTGCTGAAAAGAGCTAAGATGTTGCTGTTAGTGTGTACAAAGTTCTCCTGTTTTTTTTTCTTCTGTTTTGTTTCCTCTTTCTGATGATTCCTCTTGTTGATTCTTTTTTTTTTTCTGGCTAGGCAATGGGGTTCAGTGACTCGCCTAGGGTCACACACTAGTAAGTGTCAAGTGTCTGAGGCCAGATGTGAACTGAGGTCCTCCTGACTCCTGGGGCAGTGCTCTATCCACTGGGCCACCTAGCTGCCCCTCTCCTATTGGTTCTAATTCTTCCTTACAACATCACTAATGTGAAAACCTATATCAAATTGCTTGCTGTCTTGGGGAGGGAGGGAGAGAAAAATTTAAAACTCAAAAGCTTATGGAAGTGATTGTTGACAAATCAAAACAAATTAATAAAAAAAGCAAAAAAAATCCTTTGTTCCAGTCATTCTTTCTATAGATTTCTTTTAAATTTGATTAAACAGAAAATCAGATAATATGTAATCTTTGATGTACCTTGTGGTGTTTGGTGTGATGTTTGGTATACCAGGAGATGAGCAGTATGATCCTGAAAAGGCTGCCGTGACACCCAGGGGGCTGCCAAATCCCACTGCTGTTTCCAGTGAGAAGACTACCCTGTGCTCTCCTGTGTGCAGTGTGGTGACTATAGCTCCCAGCCTATCCACACCTGCTGTTTGGTCACTTGCCTGTTGCCACAGGACTTTGAGATAGGTAAAAATGGTAAAAGGGTATGAGTGGTGTCTTTTGATGTGTGTGTCCACCTCCCTCTCTCCTCCAGAGTCACCACAATCCAGAGTGGCAGGATAGAGTCAAGACGACTACTGATGGCTCAAGATGCAGTGGGTGACCTTGGCATCTTGCCATGTCTAACCAAAGCTCTATGTGCTCCACAGCTTCCACTTTAACTGGCTTCATGGCCTTTAGAACATATTGTTCTCATTGGCCAATTCCACCAGGGGGGTTGGAGACCCCTCAGTCACTCTCAAGCTGGTTAGCCCGTTTGCCGAAAAATAGTTTACTGGGAGTGTGGCCGCTGGGCATGCTACTGCTTCTTAGAGCCACAGGTGAGAGTTCGGGGGAACAGGTGGACACACACCAAAGGTGGAAAGCAGCCCTCACGCCAGAGGCACTAGTCTTCCCTGAACACACCCTACACATCTCCCCCTCATTTAAGCTGTCGTATCACTCCTTGGCTTTTCTTCATCCAGCGATCACCACCAGTGCCTTCAGCTCCTCTGCGAATAAGACACTTTGCCTATCCAGTAACTTCCTTACAGTCAGAGGAAGAGCTCACTAAAACTTGGCAGAATGAATGAACTCCTCCTTCTCAGGAAGTGGCCCAGAGGGCACTTAACTGGTTTCTGTATTGTGTAGGTTGCTCCTCTAGGAAGTGGAGTTTCTGATTGTGGTTAAAAAAGCAGGCTCTCCCCAAACAGCTAGCTGCGCAGGAAAGCCGTAACTTCCCCCTTCCCCGCCCCCTCCAGCTGCTATATAAGAAAGCTGCTCGATCCTCGGGTCTGGAATTTGATAATGCTGTTCGTGGTCACCACTTGGCAGCCGCTGGATCTGCTTGAGTGCTCCTGGGACCGTGCGGGGCCCAATACGTGCCAGGTAAGGAAGAAGAGACGAGCTCAGCGTTCCGGGGAGGGTTTCACGTTCCCAAGCCTGGCCGGATGGCTCAGGGAGTGTGAATGCCCGCGCCCATCCCGCAGGTTTCGTGTGTTCTTTGCGCCGGCAGTCTTGGACGGTCTCTCCAGATTTTCCCGGCCTGTTGCTGATCCATGAGGTCGACTGCTTCAACTCAAATCCTTCTCTTCTAAGTCCTTGAATGCACGGCGCTTAGAGCCGGGGCCTTTGAGAATCACGTAGCTTCTAGCCTCTAGAATATTCTGCCAATGCCCCGCCCCCCCTTCTCTTTTTTTTATGGTGAAAAAGGTCCGGAATGGGGAACAGTGACAGGCAGCAAGCACCAGAACTGAAATGGGAATGCAGGACTTCTCCGTCCCTTCCCTCAACTCTCCCCTCCGTCTGGAACCGGAGCTAGAAAGAATGAGCCACATTAATGAGTGGTTCTGCCCCTCCGGGCCAGTCTGAAGAGAGCCCTGGGCATCCTCCCTTGTAAAATGAGGGATTTAGAGTATTTAAGCTCGAAATCTGTGACCCTGGTTCCTTCATTCTAGAGGAGAAAAATAAATGAAGTCAAGAGAAGTTCCACAGATTGACAGTAAAGCACAATTTCCCCCACTGCCACGGGTCTGCAGGGCGTCTGCCCCTCCTGGTAGTCGGGTTTTCTGCACTTCGAGGGAAAGATGAGAGGCTGCTTTAGCCGCTTTTCTGCCCACGTGTGCCGCGAGACTCATGGCGTGTCACTCTCGGTCACTGTATCGGGCGGGGTTTGGGCTTTAGTGCAAACCAGTCTTGCGTCCGGCGAGGCTGGGAAGTTCCCCTTTACCCCACTTCCCCTCCCGGCTCCTCTCCAGCCCTTCACCTCTGGGCATCTATGAGACAGAGCATTGTGTTGGGGAGTTCGGATTCAATGCAGACAAGCTCTGCAGGGTGGCCAGAGCTGGTTTCTGAATGTGTCGGTGGCTCCTCCTGTCCCCTGTCCTCCTCGCCTAGTCCCGGGTCTCACACAGGGCTTTAGAATTTGGAGAGACCTAAGGGATCACCCAGTCCTGCCCCTTTATTGGGCATTGAAGAAAAGTGAGGCCCAGAGAGGGACGAGATTGTTAAAATAATTGAGGCAGGCAGCAGAACGGGGATTGGAATCTTCCTTCTCTTCCTTTCCCAGGGCTGAGGCCCTGGGTGTGTCTATCAGGAGGGCAGTCTGGGGTGATTATCAGGACTCTGGAGTTTTTGCTGCTGTTGTTTGTTCTGTGTTGTGGAAGAGGACCATGACGTCAGAAGACGATGCCCTGACTAGCAAATGAATTGACTTAAGTGAGGCAGGGCTGTGCAAAGTCACCCACCTCGCTTCTTCTCGGAGCCTATTCTGGAGTGAGTCTCACGAGGGCGCTGCGTTCTAGCAGTTCTTTTGTCAGGTTTCCCCTTCTCACCCTTCCTCCCGTCCCCAGCCCTCCTCCAGGCTCCACGCCCCAACCTCCTCTTTTTGCGGTGGTTTCTGCTACAACCCCGTGACTAACAAGGCTGGCAGTGATGGGAAGCTTCATTCATTTATTTATTTGATTCTAAGAGACATTTCCCCTGAATATTCGCACGTTAACAGGCAAGAAATCTTCCCATTTCCTTCTTATCTTAATGAGATCCAAACCCTCAAAATTTTCTTTCCACATTCAGAATGGAGCACTTCACTCACCTCCACTACTTTCTCAGGCGAGGGCTTTGAAGGCTGTTTAATGCATTGTCATAGAAGTACTGAATTTGGAATCAGAGGACGGTGCCTGAAAATCCCAAGATCAGCTATTTGAGAGCCCTGTGACCCCTGGTCAAGGTGTTCATCCTCCCAGAGACATCTGAAAAATCAGGGAATCAGATTAGATGAACTCTAAAGCTCTTTCCAGCTCTAAATCAACGATCTGATGCTTCCTCATTTCCAGAGTTGCAAGTGGGAGGTGGGGGTGGAGGACCTGTGAAATCTTGGTTTGGAAATAGCTTGGAAGTGTGTGGTGGCCCAGGGTCTGGCCAGGATAAGGGCTAGGCTCACTTGTTAGGTCCCCTGGGCAGATGGGAGGATGAGAGGGATGGCCAGAATGGAGGCAGCCTAGCTTAGAAATAGCTGGGAAGTGCCAGCATCCAGCCCAGATCCTTGATGCTCCAATCTGCTAGCCTCCAAGTCACTCTTCCTTCTTTCTCTAGAAGAGTACATGGCCCAAAGTTTTTCTTTCCAACCCAAATCTTGTCCTTAACCTTGGGGCCTGAAGTATGGATGACCATGTTTCCTCAAACACCTAGAGGGAGATGGATGATAGCTAGATGGGTGGAGAGGAATAGATGGTAGAGGTGGATAGAAAAATACCTGGATAGAGAGTTAGACAAAGAGACAGATGACAGATTGGTAGAGAGAGCATTTAAGTGGCTCCTAAGTGCCCCACACTGGCTAAGTGCTGGGCACAAAGACAAGAAAACAAGGGGGGCCCTTCTCTGGAGGAGCTAGCATTCTAATAGGGAAGACAAAACATAAAGGGTGCCTGGAAAGGGGAGTGAGGAAAGAAAAGTGTCTCTGAGGAGGATGGAGGAGCCAGAGGATGAACCAGAAATGGAGGGAGTGAGCCAGGCACCAGGTTCCTGTATTAACTCTGAGTTCATCAAACTTCTCCCTCCCGTGATCTTCAGTCTACCTTAGCCACTGGCAGGGATGGCCACACCTTAGATCTCACCCACATCCAGAACTGTGCCATCTCCCTTCATGATTTTGAACTCAGAAATGACCTTTTCTTATCACAACCTAATGCTTTTCATCCCTCCCCCAGTCTCCTTCCACCTAAACCTGGTCTCCATCCTCACAGTAACCCCTAGTCCCTCCATCCTCCCTGCACTCCCAGTCTATCCCCCTTGCTCTGGACTCACATTGGTCTCTTCACAGCCTTGACTGTGAGGTTGCTACAAAGTCCCCAAAGTGAAACAATCCTTGCTCTCAAACAATACAACTTAAGTTTTTTAATCCAATCTCACCTGGGCCCTGGCTGCTCCAACTTTCATTCCTCCTTGATTTTTGCTCTTCCCCTCTCCTCAGTGGCTTCTTTTTCCACCCCAGTCCTGACCTCTCTCTTCTCTTAGCAGATGTTCTTACATTTTATTTTCCTTTAAATACAAGGGCCAATAGCTGAGAAGTCCATCTTGTCCCCCATTCTCTGCCTCAAGAACTCTATACATTTTGACCCATGCTCTGCTCCTTTGTTTTTATTTGTTGGTAGCTAGGTGGTGCAGCCAATAGCGCACTAGGGTAGGAATCAGAAAGGTCTAAGTTCAAATCTGGCCTGAGGCACTAGAGTTGTGACCCTGGACAAGTCACTTCAGCTTTCTCTGCCTCAGTTTCCCCAACTCTAAAATTGGGATAACAATAGCACCTACCTCCCAGGATTGGGATGAGGATCATGTTTGTCCAAGCACTTAGCGCAATGCCTGGCATGTAATAGGTACTTAATAAAATGCTTATTCTCTTCCTTTCTCTCATTTCCCTTTCCCTCCTCCTTGCAAAGGCCAAACCCTCCATGTGTGTCCCCCTTCCCACTGTGTCTCATCTTGAGGATCTTGTTTACGTTTAAGAAAGGCTTTGCATGGGAAGTGACTAGAGCTGAGTTTTGAAGGAAGCTAGGGATTCTACTAGGCAGAGGTGAGAAAGGAGTACATCCCAGGCACAAAGGACAGCCTTTATGAAGGTGTGGAAAGTAGAGATAGACTAGCCTTCTTTCTCACCTCCATGTCCAATCAGTTGCCCTGAGTTCAAATACCATCTGATAACAGCTGTGTGAACCTAGGCAAGTCATTTAACTTCTGACTCCCTTAGTTTCCTCATCTGTAAAGTGGGGATGGTATTAGCATCTACCTCCCAGGGTTGTTATGAAGATCGAGTAGAATAATCTCTGTAAAGCACTTTGCAAACCTTAAAGTGATATTCAAAGGAGATAGCTATCCTGTTATAACATCTCCTGCATCCAAACCCTTCTCTACATTCACACAGCCCTTACCCTGATTCAGGCACTCTTCACCTTTTACCTGGGCTACTATAAAAGCCTCCCAATTAGTTGTCTGCTCATGTTCTCTCTCCTGACTGTCACTTCCTTGATCAAAAACCTTCAGTAGCTCACCATTGCCTGTAGGGTAAAATATAGTCTAATCTGGTGTCTGGAGTTCTCCACAATTTTCTTCTTTCTAGCCCCATTTACTGCTGTTCCCCTGCATGGACTCTTATGCTCTAACTAAACCAAGAGATGGTTCTACTCTAAACTCAGTATTCCATTTCCCACCTCAAAGCATTTGTACACATCATTCCCCAGGCCTGGAATCTTCTCCCTCCTGTCCCTTTCCTCTGCCTCAGACATTTTAATCTTCCTTCAAGGTCCATTTCAGGTGCCATTTTCTCCTTGAAGACTTTGCTGATCCTCCCAATTCTTCGAGCTCCTTTCTGACTTCATTTTCCTTGTACGTTCTGATATGACACCTAGGTAGAATATAGTATAAGCTAGTAGAAAGCTAGGGACATATAGTGTATTCTGTTAGAAACTGTATACTGTTTTTATTTTTCATTTCAAATATGAAGCCCAATGCCTTGCACCTATCAGATGCTTAATAAATATATGCCCCGCCCTGTGACTCCACTGCCTAGGTCTTTCTGTGCCACATGGGGGGGTGACGAATTGGATGTCAACTCACAGTCTGTTCACCCTCATTCTTGTAGATACTCTGGAAATGAAGATGAATGGGAAGGCTCAGAACGTATACCTCAGTGCAAATGTCACCATCCCCTGTACATTGTATGAACATGATTCTGTAAACCTGAACATCAGTGTCATTGGAATCAGGTGGTTCCAGAGAAGGTCAAACTCTGACAAGGAAGACAATGTCTTTGAGTACAATGGAGGAAAACAGACTCAGTTCAGACCAGGAGCCAGCATCTCACTGTCAGGGCTGAGGAAGGGAAATGCCTCTCTCTTCTTGCCTTCTATCCAACTTCAGGAAGCAGGAGAGTACAGATGTGAAATAATCATCCCTCCTATCAAAGTGGAGAGAACAGCCAGAGTGGATGTGGTTGGTGAGCGAGAAGGGACTTGGTCTCCAGTGTTCCACGTGTATTGGATGGCTCACAGTTGGAAATGTCTGTCTGGGCACAGGGGGGGAGGAGATGGTGGATTATATGTTGATTGGTCAGTCAAATAGTAATGATAACTTCCATTTCTACAGCCCTTTGAGATTGACAAAGCATTTTCCTCATGATAAACCTATGAAGCAAAGATTACTATCCCCATTTTATTGAGGAGGTAACTGAGGGTCAGAAATGTAATTTGCCCACATTTATGCAGAAAGTTATTCAAGCTGGAACTTAAAGCTAGAGCTTCTGTCCTCCAGAGTCCATTGAATTTTACCTGTACTTCAACCCAGAGTATTTATTGAGTCCCCACTGAGTAAGACTTATGACACTGTCTAGCAAGGTTGGCTGCACCTTGGAGTACTTGCAATCTTCGTGAGTGGAGCAAGTACCGACATGTAGGAAATTATGAATGTGTGGTACGTTGAAATATGAACCAAGGAGAGAGGTTCCCAGGGACCCTCATCAGTACTTAGGACTTTTAGTCTCTGTGACTCTGGGAAAGAAATTTCTACTCTGTGTAGCCCTACTTCTTCATCTGTAAATAATCCAGAAGAATAATTTTTTCTTGTCTTATATAGACTCAGTCTAGAAGAAGACCACCTCTGCGTATGTGTGTATTTGTGTGTTTTGAGTGTGGGGGTGAGCATCCTTTAATGCATGAGGGATGGTGAGAAGTGAATCTTCTGGAACAGTGCTTAGCACAGTGCTTTGCACATAGTAGATGTTGAATAAATATTGATTGATTGACTGACTGACTTCCAATGTGCCCTTAGCATGGCCCAACAATGAGTCTTATCTCTTTACAGCTCAGCCTCAAATCACCTGGAAGAAAGTGATTCCAAGAACTCACTCTCTGATTGAGGACAATGCTGAGTACATCTACAGGACTTCCATTAGGAATAATGGTGGTATGTTCAATGCCACCACCAGCTTGATTCTGCACCCAATTTTGGAAGACAATGGAACCATCTATCAGTGTGTGGTTGCCCATAAATCACTGTTGATCCCATTGTAGAGTGGCACTGTCCCAATTGTAGCAGATATCTGTCCTCCGTGGCTTTACAGATTCTTAAATTCAGTGTAGTGAATTTTATGTATTGTTCTTGCTCATTTGAAAAACTTGGCTTAATTGTACATTGAATGATGGAATATATTTATTAATTTCCTCTCTTCGGTTCTCCTTCTCCTGGCCTCTTTTCCTCTCCTTTCCTGTCTCTCCATTTCTTCTCATTTCTCCTATTCTCTTGTCTTTCCTTCTATTTTTCCTCCCATTTTCCTCTGTTCTTGTGCTGTTCCTCTCCTGTGCTCTTGTCTTTGACTAATCAATCAATGAACAAGTAGGCATTAAGCACTTACTAGTGTCAGGTATTATGTTAAATATCAGGGACACAGATACAGTGAGTGAAAGAATCCTTATTACCAGAAGCTTAGCTTTGACAGTCAAGACAACAAGTAATGGTAGTGATAGTTATACAGGGTCTTTCAAAAGTCATTTTATGTCCCAAAATTTGAGTTTGGTTTTAAGTTTAAAACTTATTAGCTTTACTAGCTTAAAACCACTCTAAGATTTTTGGGATACTATACAGCACTTTAAGGTTTGCCAGCCATTGTATCTATGATATTTCATCTGCTTTTCATGCAACAACTCTATGAGTTAGGTGTCATTATCATTCATATTTTACAGAAAACGAAACTGAGGTTGAGAGAAGTTAAGTGACTTGCCTAGGGTAGCACATCTAGTTATTGTCTGAGGCAGGACAGAAAGTCTTCCTCACTTCAGGCCACCCAGCTGCCTTCTATAAAAAATTCACAAAAATATTAAGTATATGTGCATATATTAGAATATATAGAATAAATATAAGGGAAATGAATATGCAATAGTCCCACGGAAGTCAATTTGGGAGAGAGGGCATGAGCGTTTGAGGACATTAGGAAAGGCCGCATGTGGTTTTTGAGTTGATTCTTCAAAGAAGGAGGGAAGGTTTCTGTGAGATGGAGGTAAAGCCGGTGGGCCTGATGTCCTGGTAGCAGCTGCCGAAACGGGCAGCTGAGTAGCCCCAGTAACAGTGGCCATAGCCATCTTGTCTCCCTCTCTAAATATCTTGACAACACTCTGTTCATATTCTTTTTTTCCTTATATTATAGGACATGGGAAGGATTACTTTGTCTACATGACGATTTTCATGATCCTGCTTTTATTTGTCTTGGCTGAAGTCATCTAGTGTCTATGTTTCAGGAATGGTAAGAAGCTTAAAGGCTGACCTGGGCCCAGAATCCCTGGGGTTAGCCGGATGCTCCTCTGACTCACCTAATGCCCTTGGGCAAGTCATTGTCACTCTCTAGGCCTCCATTTTCCAGTCTGGAACATGGGAGGGATGAGATCTTCTCCTTTGTAGTTTCAGGAGACTGAATGGGAGTATTTATGTTCAACAACACTCAGGTGTTCTTTTTTCTTTTTTTCGTTGCTGAGGCAGTCGGGGTTAAGTGACTTGCCCAGGGTCACACAGCTAGTAAGTGTCAAGTATTTGATCTGAGGCCAGATTTGACGTCAGGTCCTCCTGACTCCAAGGCCAGCCCTCTATTCACTGTGCCACCTAGCTGCTCCTCAGGTGTACTTTTGAAGGAAGTAGGCTGCATAGTCCTACTTTCCTCTGGCTCTAGGATAAGTGGCATCATGTCCACTGTTCTCTAGCTGACACCAAATTTGACATAAAATTGAAGGAACGCAGTCTAAAGTTTCCCTCAGTCACTGGCATGAATCTTTTCTTGGAATCCTAGAATCTTAGCTCTGGAATGAACCTAGAATTAGTCCAACCTTCTAAAGAGTAACTTATTCATATTAACTCACATCTGTGCAACATTCTAAAGTTTATAAATCACCTGTCATTATCACCATCCTGTGAAGTAGCTATGTAATGCATGTATTATTAGCCCCATTTTACAGATGAAGAAATTGAGTCTCAGAGAATTTTTAAATTGTATTTTATTTTTTCCCCCAATTATATGTAAAGATAACTTTTAGCATTCATTTTTACAAGATTTTGGTCTTAGAGAATTTAAATTTAAGGTTTTAAGAGGAGGCACTGACTGAACCAGGGTTGGGACCTAAGGTTCAGGACACTCAGACTGGCCTGTGGCTCCCCATTCATAGCTTTGCAGGCTTCTCCCTCTATTTACCCATGCTCTGCCCCATGCTTGGGATGCCCTCCTTCTTCATCTACATTTCTTGCAATCACCGCTACCCTTCCAGACTCAGCTCCAGTATTAACCCCTCTAAGAATTCTTTTCTGATTCCCCGAATTCATTAGTGCCTTCCCCAGGGCTAGCCTTGGAACTAGGAAGACATGGTTTCAGTTCCTATCTTTGATGCTTGCTGGATATATGTGACCCTGGGCAAAGTCACCTAACCTCTCATTGTTTTCTCTAAGACTATAAATTACAGAGATGTTGCCCTGTATGGTTAGAAGTAGTTTCTTTACTACTATTTATCTTTAATAATAATAATAATATTTAATAATAATAACAATAGCTAGCATTTATATAGCATTTTAAGGTTTATAAAGTGCTTTACAATACTGTATCATTTTATCCTCACAACAGCTGTGGGAGATAGGTGCTACTATTATCCCCATTCTATAGATGAGGAGACACCAAAGTAACAATTCCAGTCCTTATTCCTATATCCTGAATTTACTTATGGTTGAATGTGTTGTGTGTACATGTTGTGTGCACATGTGTGTACATGTTGTATGTACAGGTTGTATGTACAATGTTTGGGCAAGGTCAGGGATTGTTGCTTTTTATCTTTCTATCTCTATTGCCCATTTCAATTCTCACCACTGGCCCAGGTTCTCTGTATGAGGTTTGTCCTCCCTACCAAATTAGTGTGGATCTGTGGCACTGAAGACTTGATTGAATCTCGAAACAAATTGAAAACATTACAGACATAAAGAAGATGTTGGTCATGCAAACATTCCGTTAACACAGAATGTGCTCCATTTAGAAATACGGGCCAGTGTAGACCTGGCTACAGTGTCTGAGCACAGGTCTACATTCAAACCTTATTTTTCATCTCTGTGTAAATCACCGGCTTTTCTGGTTTTGCTTGATAGGCTTTTAAAATCTGAGGTTAGTCCATTTTGTCCTCCCATCCACCTCCCATTGAAGAGAGCTTAGGGAAGGAATACTCAATTCATGTTAGCCTGGGCCAGACTTGCTAAGGTGGGATCTCACTGTCCCCAGTCAATCAGATGATACAATCCAAGGTCAAAAAGAAATGCTTTTTGGAATAGTATTGTTTTGCAGTATTGGGGAAAGGGATCTTTCCTCTTGTCTTTTTAAGCAAGTCTGAGTTTGCAAGTTAGGATCCAGCGGAGGCTGGGCCCAGGGGAGAACTTTCTTGGTCTCTGAATTTGATTGCTGCCTTATCCCCAGTTCACTAAGCCCCCTCAACTCTTCTTCAGCCTGAGGTTAACTCCCATTGGCCAGTCAAACCCAGTCTGCACCAGGCTTCAGTGAGGCCTCTTGGTGACAGAAGCTTCTGATTGAAAAAATGGATAAAGCAAAGCCAGCTCTCCCCAAGATGTTTTCTTAGTTACTTGGTTATAAGATCGTGGAATTGAAAGCTGAAAGAAACTTTAGAGACCATCTTTTACAATCTGTTCCTTTTAGAGAGGAGGAGTCCAATAGATGGGACATAATTTCCCCAAGGTCACACAGATACTAAGCAGCAGGGCTAGAATTCCAATCCAGGTCTTTCGACTTTAGATCTGCTACTGTCAAAAAAAGAGGCATTATTTTTTCAGATTTCTCAGGGCGTAAAACCTCTTTGCCTGAATCATCCTGATAATTAAATGACAATTTGCAATTTTTTGGGGGTGGTGGTGAATTTGGGTTCCTTTGGGTCTGTGAATATAACTATGGTGGGTGGAAGTGAGGTTCCAAACTCTCATCCTATGTTCCCTTTCCTTTTTAGCCAGGACACCAACAATATCTGAGTCAGTGTGACTCATGACAAAGTCAACGAGCCAGCCGTGTTGAGGTTTTCATACTGAAACTTATTTCCAAGAATCTGGAAATGCAAGAATACAACGGTCGAAATGAGGACAAACTTCATCAGAAACGATGAAGTGGACAGTTTCAGAGGAAATAGGGAAGACGTTTATGAACCGACATAGAGTGAAGTGAGCAGGATACAATAATGCAGCATTGTGGGGGGAAGCAAACTTTGGAAGACTTTAGAATCCTGATCAACACAGTTATGAACTTGGAGTACCAACAAGTGAAGATAAAACACTCCCCTCCTGCTAGAGAAGTGATATACTTAAGAGACAGAATGAGACACACATGTTTGAATATGGCCAATGTGGTAATATGTTTTGTGCTGCTGTGAATATTTTTATGATAGTATTACTTTTTAAAATTAATTATTGTAATAAGAAGTTGGAGAGATAAAAATTGCTTATAAATTAATTAATTTAAAAATAAGCCAAGGATCCTGGAGCTGGACAACAGAATAAAAAGAGACAAGTCTGTAAGTTGTTATTTGACTCCGTTTTCTTGTAGCAGGGTATTGTGAGTGCTGAGTATTTACACGACTGTGCATAAATGTATATGTGAAACTGTGTGTGTGTGTATGTGTGTGTGTGTGCATATGAGACAGTTTCCTGCTTTCATAATCTTGGTGCTTTTCTTGATTTCTCACTCTCTAACCCTCACGTATCAAAAGAGCTGCTAAATTTTGCCTTTTGTCTCAGGACAATATCAGTGACTTCTGGGATTCTGGGGCTTTCCACTTTTTTGTTACAACCATCGGGTGCTTTAAAAAGATGGGGAAGCTGTGGTTTTCTGGAACAAAGCAGTTCTCAGGGTACAAAGGAGTGGTCTTCCCCTTGGGAATGAAAGTCTCTTTCTTTCTCTATGTCTGTCTGTCTCTATATCTTTGTCTCTGAGACAGCTAAGTGACACAATGGACAAAGCTCTGGGCTTGGAGTCAGGAAGAACTGAATTCATTTACTGGCTGTGTGACTGTGGCAAGTTACTTAACCTGTATTTGCTTCAGTTTCAGTTTTGCTTTCAGTTTCAGTTTCAGTAAAATGAAGATAATAATAGCATCCACCTCCCAAAGCTGTTGTGAGGATCAAATGAGTTAATATTTGTAAAGCATTTATCATAGAGTAGGCACTTGTCGCGCGCCCCCCCCCCCGTCTCTTTGTCTGTGTCTATCTCCATCTCTCTTCCTGCCTCCCACTCAACTGTCACTTCACTTCCATTTTCTCTACCAGTAAAATGATCTTTGGACAGGGAAGGAAAGAACATAAATAACAAATAATGAATTAAAAAAATAAGGCGATGATAAGAAAGCACTCAGTTGTCCTCAATGAGGTTAGGTCGCTAGGTATAGATGATTGACATCCAAGGGGACTGAAAGATCTGGCAGATATAAGCGCTAAGATGCTGTCATGGATCAATAAAGATCATAGAGGACAGGAGAGGTGCTGTGGGACTATTTCTGTTTTTCAAAAAAGGGAAGAGAACAGAGCCTGCAAACTATAGGCTGGTGAGCTCAATTGCTAGCAAAATTATAGGACATATTAATCAAAGGACAGTAATATATTGGAGTGGAAAGATAACTGGCCTTAGAATTAGAAGGACCTTAGTTTAAATCTTGCCCCAACATCTAAGCAGGAGCAGACAGAAGTGAGTGACAGAGAGATTAGGCCTATCAGAGATCTCAGAAGCCAGTTGAGAAGGTGCAAGGTTCTAGATCCTCACCATATATTTCCTTCTCCTTTAATTAAGACAGCCACAAGGTCTGAGATAGGAATGATTTCCACTGAGCCATATGCCAACGAACTTTTGAGGTTTCCATCCTGAATGTTATTGCCAATAACTTGGAATCAAAATAATGCATCGGACAGCATGAGTTATGTGAGTGTGACTTAAGATGGCTTCCATCTTGACCCAGAGGGCTGAGATCTCCAGTTCTGGGAAAATCATCCTCAGGTCACAGGCTAGTACTAGACCATGAAGAAGACATCTGTTGCCTGGTCCCCTTCCAGAGGACAATTTCACAAGGAAGACATTCTAGTTGGATATCCAAGGGAGTTCAATCTGTCAAGGTTAGAAATCAGATTGCTGGGTTAAGGAGTGAGTGAAAGGAGAGAAAATGGAGACTGTAAATATACATAGCTTTTCTTAGGCATTTGGATGTGAAAGAGAGAAGAGAATGATAGGATCAAGGGAATGATAGTTTCCAGTGAGAGGGGGTGTGGTGTGTGTGTGTGTGTGTGTGTGTGTGTGTGTGAGAGAGAGAGAGAGAGAGAGAGAGAGAGAGAAGAGAGAGAGAGAGAGAGAGAGTGAGAGTGTTCAGATGGGGAAGATCTTTGAATATAAGTATCAGAGAATGAGTTGATGGATAGGGAGAGATTAGAGAGGAGAGATGTTTAATGTCTCTAGTTCCTTTAATCCTAATACGACATGACCTCAAGGTCCCCTTTACAATTTTGGTCACCCTTTAGATGCTCTCTATCTTATCCGTGTGTGAAGTGTGGTACCCAGAACTGTACACAGCACTGCAGATGTCTGACTAGGGCAGAGGACAGTGGGAATATGACCTTTCTTGTTGGAGTCCATCCCTCTCTTCATGTTGCCTTCTCTTAGTAGTCAGGGATCGAGCAGAAGCCTCGTCCCTTTTTGGATCCTCCTCTGCCTCCCAATATAGCAACACCCTCCCTCCCTTTTTGGTGTCATTGTTTTCCCTCACAGGTCTCCGTTCCTTCTGAGCTGTAGTACTCCTAGCACTATCTTTACAGGACTGTGCCACAATCTTCTTTCCATCCTGTTACTTGACCTTGTTTCTGTCTTCTGAACATTTCTTTTAAGAAAATCAAAGTTATGAAACAGTGCAGGGGGGCAGAGCCAAGATGGCAGAGTAAAAGCAGTGACTTGCTTGAGCTTTCCCCCAAACCCTTTCAAATACCTATAAAAAATGGCTCTAAACAAATTCTAAAGCAGCAGAACCCACAAAAACACAAAGTGAAACAAACATCCAGCCCAAGACAACCTGGATGGTTGATTGGAAAGGTATGTTGTGCCAGGCTGATAGAGGAGTGCAGCTTGGCGTGGGCGCACAGCTTACAGCAAACCTGGAGCAGGCCTCAGAAGACTGAATCGCGGGTAGCTGTGGCGATTTCCAAACTTCTCAACACATGAATGCCAAAGACAACTTAGAAGGTCAGTGGGAAAGGTCTGTTTCTGTGGTGAGAGAGAAGCTCAGGGTCCCAGCCCCATTCCCTGAGCTTGGCCCCTGGGCAGAAGCTGCCTCTTGACCTTCTGGCCCACAGAGTGAGAGGGAATCGAGTGGCTGATTAGAGGAGGATTGCAGGGATCCCTCTGCTGGTGCAGGATTCTCTTGCTTTGCCCATGCTTGGATTTGGGTCACAGTTCTGGGTGGTGGTCCTGGGGCTAGGAGGAGAGATGGTGTGGTAAAGTTTGTAGTGGTGTGAAGAGAAAATCCTCCTCACAGTTCCAAGACAGAGGGGAGTGCTTGTGGTCACTCACAGACCAGAGCACAGGCCAGGAAAGGAGTAAACACCTCACCCCTTATCATACCACCTTGGAAGAACTGAAAATTTACAGGGCCCTACAAGTATCTCTGAAAACGGCTGTACAAACCCCTGAAGCTTGGGACAGTACATTCTCTACATTGGAAACAGACCCCTACCTTAACAAAGAGTTTATAACTCAAGTAATTGGCCGGCATCATGAGCAAGCAGTGCAAAAAGAGTTAGGCTATATTACCTTACTTTGGTGAAAAAGAAGATCAAAACATACAACCAGAAAAAGATAAAGAAGCCAAAGCTCCTACATCCAAAGCCTCCAAGAAAAATATGAATTGGTCCCAGGCCATGGAAGAGCTCAAAAAGGATTTTGAGAAGCAAGTAATAGAAATAGAAGAAAAACTGAGAGTGATGCTAAAGGAGACCCAAAAAAAATACTGAAGAAAATACACCTTAAAAAATAGCCTAAGCCAAATGGCCAAAGAGGTCCAAAAAGCCAATGAGGACAAGAATGCCCTAAAAAGCAAAATTGGCCAAATGGAAAAGTCCAGAAGCTTACTGAAGAAAATACTTCCTTAAAAATTAGAATGGAGCAATTGGAAGCCAGTGGCTATATGAGAAATCAAGACACTGTAAAACTAATCCAAAAGAATGAAAAAAATAGAGGAGAATATGAAATATCCCATTGGAAAAACAACTGACCTGGAAAATAGATCCAGGAGAAAGAACTTAAAAATTATTGGATTATCTGAAAGCCATGATCAAAAAAAGAGCCCAGACATCATCTTTCAAGAAATTATCAAGGAAAACTGCCCTGATATTTTAGAACCAGAGGGCCAAATAGAAAGAATTCACAGATCACCTCCTGAAAGAGATCACCGAAGGAAAACTCCTAGGAATATTGTAGCCAAATTCCAGAATTCCCAGGTCAAGGAGAAAATACTACAGGCAGCCAGAAAGAAACAATTCAAGTATTGTGGAAACACAATGAGGATAACACAAGATTTAGCAGCTTCTACATTAAGGGTCCAGAGGGCATGGAGTATGATATTTTGGAGGGCAAAGTAGATAGGACTACAACCAAGAATCACCTACCCAGCAAAACAGAATGTAATCCTTCAGGGTAAAAAATGGTTATTCAATGAAACAGGGGACTTTCAAACATTCCTGAGGAAAAGTCCAGAGCTGAATATAAAATTTGGCTTTCAAATACAAGACTCAAGTGAAACATGGAAGAGGTAAAGAGGAAAGAGAAATCATAAGAGACTTATTAAGGTTGAACTGTTTATATTCTGCATGGAAAGATGATATTTGTAACTCATGAGTCCTTTGTCAGTATTAGGGTAGTGGGAGGGAAAAAATTATGTGTATGGATAGATAGATAGATAGAGGACAGAGGGTGAGTTGAAGATGAAGGGGTGATATTTGGAAAATAAAATTAAGGGGTGAGAGAGGATTTTACTGGAAGGAGGAGAAAGGGAGAAGTAGAATGGGGTAAATTATCTCACGTGAAGCAGACAAGAAAAGGCTTTTACAGTGGAGGGGAAATGGGGGAAGGTGAGAGGGAATGAGTGAGTCTTATTCTCATAGGATTTGGCTTAAGGAGGGAATAACATACACAATGAGGTATGGAAATCTATCTTATCCTACAAGAAAATAAGAGCGGAAGGGGACAAGAGAGCAGGGGGTTGATAGAGGGGAGGCAGACTGGGGGAGGGGATAATCAGAAGCAAACACTTCTGAGGAGGGACAGGATCAAAAGAGAGAATATAATAAATGGTGAGTAGGATAGGATGAAGGGAAATATGCTTGGTTTTTCACAACATGACTGCTACGGAAGTGTTTTGCATGACTACACATCTATAACCTGTATCGAGTTGCTTGCTTTTTCAGAGAAGGTGGGTGGGGAGGGAGGAAGGGAGAAAATTTGGAACCCAAAATTTTAAAAACACATGTTAAAAATAAAAAAAAAATAAAATAA